TTCGTAGTAGTAGTAGAAATTCCTGAGTGTGTACTGTATTATTCTCTAGAACACAAATGGAATCAGAGCCTTGACATGCTTAGGGAAGTCATCGAACTTGGAAAGATACCATCTTCGTGTAGCGTAACTCCGACCGACGAGATACAAAGTCGTTCCCATGGCGAAAGAAAGCGAGTAAATGGTCTGAGAAACCATAAAGAAGCTCCAAAACACAATGATCTCAAACAGATAATGAGGGCATATGATTGTATCAAAGAGACCACCTTTTGGTATCTTGTACTCTTTCTTCTTCCCATCTTCTTCTTTCCTAAGCTTAGCTAGTAAGATATGGTGATACAGATTCCCAGCAATTCCCACCACAAACATCACAATGCCGATGAATTTCAGATCGAAATCTGGCCCGGGAAGTCCCAGTGTGAAGTTTTGGCTGTATAACATCAATACCGTCGATGAGAAATAGCTGCTTGTTATGACGAAAGCTGAGTCTACTGCCATCCCTCCACTGTACTTGTGTATGAACAGAACCTGTTCGATGAAATGCGTCAAAGACAAGAAGCTAGAATAACTAGATGATGAATACAACTCCTAACCAAACCCTACAAATTGGTAAACTCACAAGCTTAAAATGAGTATAAGAATTAAGAAATTCCCTAATAAGTCAAGTATGTGAGCTAATTTATTTACTTATGAATGAACATGACCTGTTCGACGAAATGCGTCAGAGAGACAAGAGGAAAGTTTAGAGTTTTACCTCGAGGACCCTCTTGAAGAAATGGAGGGCAAGTGCAGATTTGACAAGAAGAAACCTGAGATCATCAGAAGGTAAGACGAAGAAAGATGCCGAAGCGGCTAGAAACGCAGGTGTATATAGCCAAAGCATTCCGGTTCGGCTCGAGATGGTGCCGAATCTCTGTTTCTGAGGTTGTGTTTGTGGTGATGATGATGATGAAGCGTTGTTGAATTTGGAGTATTTCAGATGATTTCCTCTAATTTCCGACCAACCGATCTTGGCCAAAGCGGCTAAACCCACGACGCTCATAGAGTTGAGTAGTATCGATGGAGGCGGTGGATACAGAAAACTTTTCACCATTTCCATTTTTGTTTTGCTTTG